CCCGGGTTACGTACAAGATAGGGACTGTAGGTTGGTTCTTAAGTTGAATTTGTACGTAAGTCGGAACTGGCGTCCAGATCCAGCCGCTGCTGAAACTGACCAGCACTGACTACAGGAAGCCCCAGGCAGAGTTGCTCTGCCCCGGACTTCCTGGAATCAGCTGCTGATCAGTTTCAGCAGCAGCTGACTTGGGGACGCCTGGGGTTTTTAAGTTGATTCGGTATGTAAGTCAGAACTGGCGGTCAATTTCAGCAGCGGCTGAATCTGGATGCCAGTTCTGACTTACATACAGATTCAACTTAAGAACAAACCTACAGTCCCTATCTTGTATGTAACCCGGGGACTGCCTGTATTATTTAAAAAATATTAAAGTGTTTTGGCTTTGAGAGCACGCTTTGAGCTTCAGGGGAAAGAAGTGATATAAAATCTCCTCCATCATGAGGTTGTATCACACTCACCAAATGAGCATAAACAGGCCAAAAGACTGGAAGCATTTTTCATTCTGTGTGTGAGCTTGAGTGCCTTCAAGAACACTAAAAAACCCAACATCCAGTTGAGGTGAGACAAGACTGCTTACCTAGACTTTAGTAAGGCATTTGATACGGTCTTGCATGATATTCTTATCAATAAACTAGGTAAATACAACTTAGATAGGGCTTCTATAAGGTGGGTGCGTAATTGGCTGGATAACCATACTCAGAGTAGTTATTAATGGTTCACAATCCTGCTGGAAAGGCATAACAAGTGGGGTTCCGCAGGGGTCTGTTTTGGGACTGGCTCTGTTCAATATCTTCATCAACGATTTAGATATTGGTATAGAAAGTACGCTTATTAAGTTTGCAGATGATACCAAGCTGGGAGGGGTTGCGACTAATCTGGAGAATAGGGTCATAATTCAAAATGACCTGAACAAATTGGAGAAATGGTCTGAGGTAAATAGGATGACGTTTAATAAAGACAAATGCAAAGTGCTCCACTTAGGAAGGAACAATCAGTTTCATACATACAGCATGGGAAGCGATTGTCTGGGAAGGAGTACGGCAGAAAGGGATCTAGGGGTCATAGTGGACCACAAGCTGACTGAGTCAGCAGTGTGATGCTGTTGCAAAGAAAGCAAACATGATTCTGGGATGCATTAACAGGTGTGTTGTGAGCAAGATCCGAGAAGTCATTCTTCCGCTCTACTCTGCGCTGGTTAGGCCTCAATTGAAGTATTGTGTTCAGTTCTGGGCACCGCATTTCAAGAAAGATGTGGAGCAATTGGAGAGGGTCCAGAGAAGAGCAAAGGTCTAGAGAACATGACCTAAGAGGGAAGGCTGAAGGAATTGGGTTTGTTTAGTTTAGAAAAGAGAAGATTGAGGGGACATGATAGCCATTTTCAGGTATCTAAAAGGGTGTCCTAAGGAGGAGGGAGAAAACTTGTTCATCTTGGCCTCTGGGGATAGAACAAGAAGCAATGGGCTTAAACTGCAGCAAGGGAGGTTTAGGTTGGACATTAGGAAAAAGTTCCTAACTGTCAGGGTAGTTAAACACTGGAATAAATTGCCCAGAGAGGTTGTGGAATCTCCATCTGGGGAGATATTTAAGAGTAGGTTAGATAAATGTCTATCAGGGATGGTCTAGACAGTATTTTGTCCTGCCATGAAGGCAGGGGACTGGCCTCGATGACCTCTCGAGGTCCCTTCCAGTCCTAGTATTCTATGATTCTATGAAACAATAGCAATTGGCAGCATGAGCTTATCAGTTTCTGTAACAGTTACTTGATGGCTCTCTGTCCCACTCCTGAGGAGCAGGCTTCCACCCTATGCTGCTGGTCTGTATGAGAGCCCACAGACTGGCAGCCAGCTCCCTGGGAGTAGGGCCAGGAGTGGGATTGGGAGGGGGAGCCAGTACATGCTGGGAGCTGGCTTAAAAGTTGACTCACGGCACACACCGGCTGCCAGAGCTGGCTGCCACCCCGCGCTGCTGGCTTTGCAGTATAAAGTTTCTACTGCAGAGCCCGTAGCACAGCAAGCTCTCCAGGAGTGAAGCCAGGAGCTAGCTCCCAGCACACACTGGCTGCTGGTCCCGCTCCTAGGGAGCTGGCTGCCATCCTGGGGGCTCTGATACAGACCAGCAGCATGGGGTGGCAGCTTTATATTTCAGAGCTCACAGTATATAACCAATAGGATTTTTTTATTGGTTAGACGGTTACCTAATTAACTGCTTTTTAACATCCCTGGTAATTGGTATGCTGGCCAGCACACCATTCACTAATTCCATAACACCATTTATGTATAGCATAGTTCCAACTTGCTTAATGTAACATCTCAAAGCACATGCTGTGAGCAGAGGTTTGGTGTGAATTTGTTTTCTTGACCGTTCATATAATTTAATTTATCCTGTAAATCCTCCTTTTGAGCCTCTGTTCTCTAGATAAGCTCTGGTTCTTCAATCCCAGACTTTAAAGCTAGAAAGGCCCCTCGCCCCGATAGTCTTAACTCAGTGAACCCCAACCTTTTTCCCATGGAGGAACCCCTAAAATAATTTTTCATATCCCTCGGAACTCCTACCTATGAAAACGTTTGCTTGCCCAGAAAAAGTTGACAGCGGGGAGCGCAATTCAATTACTGCTAATTTTTTTTAAGAAAATGTAGTTGTAAAGAGCTGTTTATATATGTCCGCTTACATTGTAAGAAAAAAAAATTGGAGCGTTTTTCCTGTCTCTCTTTCTCTTCTCCCCCCCTCCTGCCTCTCACTCTCTCTTCTCCTCCTCCTCCTCCCCCTCCTGCCTTGCTCCCTCTTTCTCTTCTCCTCCCCCTCCTGCCTTAACATCCTACATAGCCCAGGCCACAGAATGTGATTTTTTTTCGGCAGTGCAGGGAATTATTCTTCCCTAGCCCTAATAACGTGTGTTCAAACTGAAGCATGTAGCGTAACAGCCCAATCTACATTTAAAGGCTCCAAGGGATGGTGAATTTACCACTTCCCTTAGTAAAAGGCGCTAATGGCTAATTACCCTTTCTGGGATTTTTTAATTGTCCTATCCAGTTTGAATAGCCTCACTGTATTCCCATTGGATCTTTGCTTGCTAGATTGAAGAGGGTCTAATGTAAGAGACCAAGTTAGCTTGATGATAATACCTAGATTGCGGTAGGCAATAAGTCAGATGCGGCTTTGTCAGGGTTAGCCCCTGGCAGGCTGCTGGCACTTTCTTTACCTGCACTTCTGTAGGTATGGCTCCTGGAAGCTCCCGTTACTGCCGATCACCTTTCCCGGCCAATGGGAGCTGCAGGAAGCTATGTCCTAGTCTGTGCCACTTCCCGCAGTTCCCACTGGCCAGGAACGGCGATCCGCCACCATTGGGAACTGTGAGCTACCGTGCTAGTGGAGTCACAGGTACATGCAGTGGGCCACCAGGGGCTAACCGTGGTGAACCATCTCCAGTCCATGGGACAGTTATTGCCCACCACTGACCTAGATATGACCAATAGATCTCAAAGCAAAGAAGCAAGTAGATCTTAACAAAGGAAGTCAAAATCCTTATCCCCAACTTACAGGTGAGGAAACTGAGGCATAGA